CCCCAAAACCCCAAAACCCCAGTTTAAAAAGTAAAAAATATACTGGAAGATTGATTTAAATCATTATTTTAAAAAATCAAAAGTATTATATTCAAGACAGTATTCTAAACAAAGTTATTTATAATTATGGAATATGGACATAATCAAACACATCCTGTCCTACACTTATGTATTCATATTAAGTCTATAAAATTCAATCTGGATAAATCTATTAATAGTGCTGCAAAAACATTGACAATAGATAATGTAGCCAAAGAAGCACTAGGTACGTACTAGGTAGGATTTTCTGTATCAAATTCTTATTTATTTTTCAATCTTTAACTTGCAGATAGATGCTAAACTAATTAAATTACTGGTAGCAACATTACTAAGTGGGAGCAAATGAGAGCTAACGAAGGAATACTCAGAATGGAGAAATAGTGTCCAAGGATGTGGTTCGATAGCATACAAGCTATAATATTCATAAAATAATGGTTTTAGTGTAAATCTCCCTAGTTTTGTAACTTATTCTGAAACAGATTTCAAAGTGAAAATTTATACAACTGAATCTGACCTAATAGGCATTTATGAATTCAAGATTAAAGCTATGTCTAATTCAACAAATTTTGAAGTTAAAAGGGAATAGAGTTGGTTTCTAAATATAACTTTATAAGCAATATAATAAGCCTTTAATCTTGGAGGTCCTATATTTTCAGAACCACCGAAATCTTAAGTCAGTATTGAGATAGGTTAGTAGTACAAATACAAATTTTCAGAGATAACAGATTTAGATGGAGATAGTTATTAAGTAAATGTAAATCTTGGTAAAACGTAGAATTTTGCAAAGTATGAAATAGTGGTTTCTCCTTAAGATAGGGATAAGGGAAAATATAAGATAATCATAACATTAACTGATTTAAATAAATCTCCCAGATCGTCAAAGTACACAATTAATTTGGATGTTTTCAAGGTATAAGTGCAAACAATTGATATGAAAATTGACTAGATAGAAAGCTAAATTGAAATTCAGCAAGTCGCTCAGACTTATCAAAATCGCAGACTTTATATTATAAGTTGATGAAAAAGAAAGCATTTGCTATGACATTGCAAGCCTCTTTAGACTCTGTAAATACAAAAGGTAATATGGAGATTTCATTTGAAAAGCCAATGTAAATACCTTAAAACATATCAATGATAAAAGCAGATTAAGCATTAACTTTCACTCTATAAAAAGGTGATCCACTAGACTCAAATAGTGAATTACCGAAGATTTAGGACTGGAATGTTATCTCATTCGCAAGTAACAAGTTGATACTTTCACTTATCTATTCTGACTCTCTATTGCTGTCTTAATCCAAAGTAAAAATTTGTACTTAAAATGGATATAGAATTATGATTCAATCGTGGTAAAATTTGCTTAGCCATAGTACTTTATCAGTTATGATTAAATGGGAAAAATTGATTCAAAAAAAGTATTAGTCAAGAAAATACCTCCTTAACTCAGCAGTAAAAGTTAGAAAATTAAGTTATTTTATTAGCCATTTAGGTATAACTTTGCTAATGGAAGAAAGTGGTGATTTAGCAAATACATTGATTGTGGGCTCAATAGGATTAAATTTCTTTTTATAAATGTTCCTGGGAATGTCAATGAAAAAGTTATGGAGGCTTATCAGTACCCTCTAAATATTGGTTCATCTTCCAATGTTGTCAATTCCTCTCCCATCTAATGTAGTAATGGTTTATACTTCACTTGTTGATACGTCCACTCTCTAACTCATACCAAATGCAAAAATCAAATAATACTTAGGTGGGTTGATGACATCAGGAACTAACTAAGTAAAATCCTAGTTCTAGCAAATGGATATCTTTTAAAACAATTTTAAAGTTAGCTTATTAACTTATTTACGATATGAAGGAGGATTAAATTTAACTTTTCAAAAAATATAAACTAAAAAGCATAAGTTTTATTATAAAAACAAATGATTACTTGTGAATTTAGGATTTTTATTTATTGTGATTATATTTATTTGCATATTTATGTTGATGATGAAGGGTTTGGAATGATTTTCTTTATAGATAGCTATGTAAGTAATATATTATTCTTTTAAAATTAGATTATTTTAGATTTAAGATGATAAATTAAAGTGTTTAGAAGCGATTATTTTATGCACCTCTTTTAAGACCCATTATTAAGGGTTATCTAAAATTCCAAATTTCTGCTTTTATTACAATCAGTGTAATGCATAAAACATTTTTACTAAATTAGTTATTTGATGGCACTTAATAAATCACAGAATTTCTAGCAGCTATTTTAAGGGTAGTTTTCCTATGCACTTGCACTTTAATTATCTTGTTTTTTCTCAAATTCAAGTTAAAGAAATTGAAATAAAAACAGATCAAGGATAAATATGGATCACTCTACTAAGATCTTAAGACTACAAGAGTTATATATATGATGAATATTGTATTGTATCTTTACAGGTGAATGGTAATGGCATTATCCATTGTTTTCCTTGAAGATTTTCCTCTGCTTCAAGCATCCATTTAAATACTAAGTAGTATTCTTAATCTAATTTACTTGTTGTCAGTAAAATCATTTATGACATTTCAAAAAAATATATTTGAAATATTCAATGAACTTTGTCTACTCTCGATTGCTTACATGCTCCTACCATTACTTTAAAATTCTTTGACTACTCAGTAAAAATATGAAGAGAATCCCTAATTTTTTTAATTTTATTGATGTAGGTTGGCTAATTGTGGCTATTAGTATTGGAAATCTCATAGTAAATTATGTTTCCTTACTTATTACAATGTCAAAAAACTTGTATCAAATTTTAGCTAAACTAATTAAAAAGCTTAAGGATAAATGTAAAAGAAAACCTATAATTCATGGTGAGCAAGTTACATAAGAACCAGATATTGCCAAAAATTCATTATGGAGATATCATTATAAAAGATAACTTTGTTCCCTACAAGAATTCAGAAAACTGTCCATTAAACATGGATAGTTAAAATCCTTAACTATTGACCTCAGTTAACACAACAATAAATTGAAATCGAGGAATTATTGGAAGTTTTAAAAAGATTAGAATTTCAAATTTTGATTATGAAAACTTTTATTTTATTTTATTAATATAATAAACTCCTTCAATAATGATAATTTCTTTCTCTATGGGGTTTTGGGGTTTTGGGG